TTTTCCTTTCCTTTCCTTTCCTTTCCTTTCCTTTCCTTTCCTTTCCTTTTTTCTTTTCTCTTTTCTCTTTTTTCTTTCCTTTTCTCTTTTCCTTTCCTTGCCTCTTTTTCTTTCCTTTCCTTTCCTTTACTACATTCTACTCTTTTCCTTTCTTTTCTGCCCTTTCTTCCCCTCTCCTGTTATCCTCTGCCATTTCCCCTCTTCCCCTCTCTCCCATTTCTTTAGGGGAGGTGTGAGAATTTTAAAGGTAAATTGCTAGACATGCTCATGTATTTGGTTTGTTCAGACCTGGTCTGCCCCCTTGTGGAAAAAGTGTTTATTAGTCTCACAATGGTTTCTCAATGCTATTGGCATTAAAATCAGAGAATATTCTATTCCTAGCCCTTCAAGTTCTCAAGTAAATAAAATAATAATAATAATAATAATAATAATAATAATAATAATAATAATAAAGTCTGTTTGGAACTGGGCAGGGTTTTGTGGTTCCTCCTTGGCTGAGATCCCCAGCTGGGCATGGTGACACCAGTCCTTCAGGCATCCAGTCCGTACCTTTCTTTGACTTCCGTTTTCAGGCTGTTCTGCTCTTAAACTCTGTAGTTTGGAAAAGAGTTAATCACTTTTTAGAGAATGCATATGTAAGAGTTCTGCTGGATGAATTAATGTGTGCCACATGCATGCCTAAGATGCCAGAAGGCATTGGTGCCACTGTATCTGGAGATAGAGGCAGGTGTGAGCTCTCTGATATGAGTGCTGGGAACCCAACCAAAGTCCTCTGCAAGAGCAGTAAGTGTTCTTAACTGCTGAGCTGTCTCTTCCATCCCTTAAATTGTACTTTATTTTACTCTTTAATGAACATTTAAGTGGAAGTTTATGCTATTACAAGCTTTAAGTATAAATATATAAAGTTACATATATGTAACTTAAAGCTCGCTTAAGGATTGTTTTTCTCAAATAATTAATAAGGTTAGCATGAATCCTTTGTTAACCTTGTACATGTAAACCTTGACTTTAGGTGGGTTTTTTCTCTGTCTCTCTCTTTCTGTGTGTGTGTGTGTGTGTGTGTGTGTGTGTGTGTGTGTTAGTGGGGACTTTGGCTTAGTATGGTCTTTTAGAATGTGGGTGAACTTAGAAGATGCATAGTAGTATCAAATGACAAAAATCACAAGTTTACTTGCAGGTATAATCAACTCATAGTCATGATTTAGGAGTTGAGGCAGCCTGCAAGCTATTTAGTAGAGTGAGAGTTCTTCCTGGGAAATAGCAGAACAGGAAAATTCTTGTGAGCAGGGAATGGAGCAATATAACTAACCAACTGGCCGATTCCAGGCTGCTCTTGAGAGGGTTGATGTGAAAAAACATCTCTCTTAGACTGACCCAGAGAGGCTAGAGTTTCCTGTTTTCAGGCAAAATTAGTCAGTATGGAATCGATGTGCTCTCTCAAAACTTCAATTTGATTGTCCAGCACTTGGCATGAGTGACTCCATTTTGGATTAATTTAATCCTTCAGGGCCCAGTATAGAGCTCAGTCAAAACAATGACCACCACCCCCATGGCTCTTTTACTGGGTAAAAAGTGAAGGCTAACTTGTCTGTGCAGCTCCACACCAGGACAATGTGTGGTAGATGGCCAGCCTTTAGGAACTGTCAGTCAAAGAAGGAGTAATTCAGAGTGAATGTCGGTTCAGGGTCTTTGCTTGCTTTGTTTTTGGAGTTTTCAAAAATGGAGCTGCTTCTTAATTGTGTCTGAATGGTAACTGGGCACTCAGACGCTTTTTATTTCTTGAAGTGTGTCTCACTGAGTGCCGAGGCAAATTTGTGTGTTGGGTTAGAAAGGGACCATGTGGCACAGAGCATGGTCTGACTCACATTTAAGAGCAGATGGAGAGCATGGGTGAGGATGATCAGGAATAGGGCTGAAAGCCTTGGAGAAAGCTCCTCTCTATAAATCCTGGAGTACGCCTTCTCCATGGAGAAAGTGAGGCTCAGACCTGGTGAGTGACTTACTGCAGACATCTGAACTTTAGCCTCTGCTCCAACAGAGAGCTACTGCCTATACCGTCATGACGTAAGGACTTTGTTTAACTTGCTAAGACCTTTGGACTTAATCCTTTAGACACCAGAGACGACTTTTTAGTTGGCTACCAACTAAGAAATAATAGAAACTAGATTTGATTCAATTCATATTTTGAGAGAGTTGTGTAGCTTTGGAACTTGCTTTCCTAGGAGGGGCATGCAAACAGAAGGGCCAAAGAGCATTTGTCTTAGGTTCTGTGATCGGCTCACCAGTGGCTCACCAGCTTCTCATCCCTGCCCCGTGCTTGCATTGAAAGCAAACTCAATGTGCAAACAGATGGGAGGGCTGCATTTTAGGGAGAAGTTCATTTACAAGCAGGAAGGTAGGCGGTAAGGGCCAGAGATTGTCAGCACAGGCAGGATCTACAATACCAACACCACCAATGTGTCCTGCTAACAGCCCAGCCATCCCAGGGCACGGAGAATCTGCGTGCAGGTGCCCTCTCCTGCAGGCTTCCTCTCCTGCTTCCTCCCTCATTTCCAGAGCACATTGCCTCTAGCATTTTTGAGCCTCACTGCCCATGGTACTTTGACTTCTTGTTATCGTAATTTGACATAATTACTCGAAAATCTCTAGTGTGTTACATGTTGGCATGGGGGGGCACATTTGGTTCTGTGGCTTAATTAAGCCACCCTGATTTCCCCTGGAGCCCTCTTACTCTCTTCCTTGAAGCACAGTTTACCTGGTGTTTCTCCTTCTCCAACCCTACTGTTTCTTCTGTCTTCCCTTCTCCACCTTTTTTTTTCCCCTCAGAGTTTCCATGGCCCCACAAGCTCCTCAATCCTACCTGAGCAGCTTCTTCGAGTCCTGAGGTATTATACCCCAATATCTCATGGGAACCTCCAGGGCTGGGTTCTGAACTCTCATCATTTTGTCCTCAAAATATGTCCCACCTCCCACCTTTCTCAGCCGCAGTTCTCCAGCTGCCCCATCCCAAGGCTGAGGTCTGGAAGCCACGCTTTGATCTGGAAATTTGTTTCTCTCAAACATAAAGTAAAATATCGAGTCAAGTGTGCTAATCTGAAGAATGCAGTGTGGTGAGTTTTGACAGATGTGGAAGGTGTGTTGGCAATATCTAGGTCATCATGCTGGTAAGTTCTCTGGCACCCAGATCATTTCTGAGCCTCTTTGCCACTTACTGATTCTTGTAGCTGCGTCTGTCAGGGATGCTGCGCATGCTCCCGCCGCAACCCCATTACCTGTTGTCCTCCCACCCCCACCCCTACACGCACGCACGCACGCACGCACGCACGCACCGATAACTGAGCTTTCCTGTCTCAACCTTCTGCCTCTGCATGCCAGAGGACGAAAACTTGGGTCAGTCAGGGAATTTTCCCAGTTACTTTCTCTTGACTTTTGTTTTCTTGTTTTGTCTTCATTCGGGGTCTCATGCGGCTATCACCCTTGCTTGGAAGGCGAGGATGACTAAACGTCTGATCTCCTGGCTCTACCTCCCGAGTGCTAGGATTGAAGGCATGCACACTTACATGGTTTATACAGTGCAGGGAACCAAATCCAGGGCTTTGGCATGCTAGGAAAGCCTCTACCAACTAAGCTACACCCCTAGTCCGACTTTTTGTTTTTAAATATTCAGTCAGCAGCACCTGCCAGCTCAGTGTGTACCTATTAAGACACGACGAGTCATTTGGCCGTTTTCCTGGGCCTTTCTCTCCTGCGTGTGCTCTACCCAGTCTTGGCATGGCTACAGGGCCAGCCATACACTAAGCAATGGGCTCTGCCCGGGCCAGCTATGTGAAGACGACTATGAAGCCATGAACCGGGATGCTTCTTGTTCTGGATAAAAGATAACTCAGCCCACCGTGGCTTGATTACCACACTTCATTAAAAATCCAAGCATTAAGCGTGACAGTTTCCAGGTTGTTAGATTCAGCTTACCAAGGCAGGCTCGTGTCTGTTCTTTGGTCTTGCTTTTGATCTCAGTGTAGGTTTGGATTTATGGGTACTCATTCTAAGAAGAGAGAGCACATCTCTCCCTGTCTTCTTGCCAGGACCCCTCAGAACCCTTAGTATGATGGTTGTTTTTTGTTTGTTTGTTTGTTTGTTTGTTTGGTCTGGAATCCTGATATCTTCTATGCTCAAGCCTAATGCTTACAAAGGGGATGTGGTGCCTATTGTAGGCCTGGACCAACAGATATTGCCTGAGTCATTTTCTCTTTTTACTAAATGTAATTAACTACTTAATTATCCTTACAGTGCCCCATACCTTGCCACCAAACAGGACTGACTCCTGTCAGTCTTCCATTAAGCACCTACTGTCTACTACCCTGCTGACTCCCATGGCTTATGTCTGGCCATGCTCGCCCTCACCCTTCTACTTTGCTTTCCTTGCAAACTTGCTTCTTGCTTCCTCTATCCTCCCCATGGTCCTTGCTGAACAGGGAGCATGATACAATACACTGGGCTCTCCCCACCCCCAGATCTCTTTCATGCTTTTTCTTTTCATCTCTCATTGCATTACATGCGCACAGGGTCTGAGCAACCGTGGGCTAGGTAATACCTGAAGGAGACAGCTATAGCTGACCTTCCTGCAGGGACACTTCAGTCCTTCTGGAGTATCCTCTCAAGGCCATTGCTCTCTAAGGGGACTCTTAATGGACCCAGCTCATTCACCAGCCATGGGCTACATCTTCCAGTACCACCTTCCCTGCCTTCTGTGCTTTTGCTCCACACCCAGAAGCCTTCTGTTTTCCCTGCTGGCATCCTGTTTGCCAGACATCATAGCTAAGGTGTTCGTTGTTCTTCCATTGGTCCCCACATCGGGAATGCTTTGTTTACTTTCCCTTAGCTGTTACTAAATGTGGGACATCCATGGGACTTTGAAGTCACACACTCCTCATGTTTAGCGCTGGCTTGGGCAGTCAGCCCTTGCCTCCTTTCCCTTGCAGAATCACTGGGAGGATGGTCACGTAGTGTGGGTTCATTCTTTCTCGACACTGCTGCCTTTGTTCTTATGAGTGTTTACCTACATTGTTTTACTGTTACTGTTCACGTAATACACACCCAGCAAGTGCCCACCGGAGCAGGTGCAGTTTGAGTATTGGGGATGTGCTTAGTATGATGGTTGTTTTTTGTTTGTTTGTTTGTTTGAACAAGACAGAATAAAGATTCCTGCATGTGCAGAGCCTCCCTTATTTGAAAGGCACCATCTGTCTCCCGAGTCTGCATAGGAAGGAGCAGTTGGGAATCCAGAAGTGGACTGACCTGCAGAGGAAAGAGCCTCTGCTTCCTCTCAACTCAAGTTCTTTGCCAACAGGCAATATTTGATTGCCTGTATTACTTGAGTGTCAGAGGAATGCATGCATGTGCAGTAGCCAATGTGTGGAGGTCACGGGACAACCTGTGGGAGTCTGTTTTTTCTTTGTGCCATGTGTGTTTAAGAGTGGAGTCAGGTCTTCAGTCTTGGTGGCAAGCACTCTCAGCCATGGAGCCTTCCTCCCCGGCCGGCAACAGGGATTTTGATCTCCATTCTCCCTGTTGTCAATGGTGATTTGTTTTAAGGAATGCCATGCCTTTCACAAAGTAAGTGTTTTTGAAGAATACACTTCTTTCTTTAGAAACCAAAACTTGTGTTTTGTCTTTCAGTGGTGAAAGTGGGGCTGGGAAAACAGAAAGCACCAAACTGATCCTCAAGTTTCTGTCTGTCATCAGCCAGCACTCCTTGGACTTGTGCTTACAGGAGAAAACATTCTGTGTTGAGCAAGCCATCCTCCAAAGCAGGTATCACACATTGGTTTTCTGCCTTCCAAGCCATCACGTTTGCTTTTTTTCTGAAACAGAATGGCTAAACTTAGTCTATTTCTCTTCTTGGCTCATCTTCTTGCTAGAATTTCAAGAGATCTCAGCTGTACACCTTTTATCCCTGCACCAGGGAGGCAGAAGCAGGCAGATCTCTGTGAACTCAAGGCCTGCTGGGCTTACGTAGGAAGTGCCATCCTAGCCAGGGTGACATCTGAGCCTTTGTCTCAACTCTCGCCACCACCTGCGTCCTGCCAACACCTCCCCAGAAAGAAACGGTCTAAACATGTACCCAGCACTTTCCAGAACCTTCAGGAACACCCACTTTGACAGAAGCAGCTCCTTTCCCTGTTGGGACATTCAGGGTGGTATACTCTAAAGTTCTGAGGAGCAGACTGACTGCAGCTGCACATGGTGAAGGACTCAGACACACACTAAAACCCAGTCATCTTGTAGAGTGGGCTGAGCACTCAGACTGAGAAAGGTGCTTTCAGTATGAGCTGAGGGCATTTCAACAGCCTCACCTGCGACAGATCAGTAGTACCCAGCCGTGGTCCTTGAAACACTGACAAAGGGCTGTGTGGCCTGGTGTCACCTGCAGACTCACTTGGTATCTGATTTGTGCCTTGTAAGGTTATGGAGCCAGTAGAGATATTATGGACACTGGATGCAGAGAGCTGTCCCAGGGTCAGCAAACTATAGCCTAGTACAATATTTTGGAGCTTTTATTTTTTAATTGGGAATTCAGCTCAGTGCTTGCTTAGCATTTTCATACACACACACACACACACACACACACACTTACACACACAGAGAGACATACACATTCTTTTTAATTTACAGTTAAATATATGCCTTTAATATTTAATTATTTATTTATTTACTTACTTATTTATTTATTTATTTATTTATTTATTTATTTATTTATTTATTTATTTTGGCTTTTTGAGACAGGGTTTCTCTGTGTGGCCCTGGCTGTCCTGGAACTCACTTTGTAGGCCAGGCTGGCTTCCAGCCCACCTGCCTCTGCCTCCCGAGTGCTGGGATTAAAGGTGTGTGCTACCACCGCCTGGCATACACGCCTGTAATTTTTAACCATGTTTCCAGCATACAGCTCAGTGGCAGTGGTCACCACCGTCCGTTTTCAGACTTCATGCGCCTCCTGCAGCCTTCTCTGGAAATAATTTTCTTGGGATGCTGCCATGCTCACTTGGATTGTTTCTGGCAGCTTTTAAAGGACAGTGGCAGCACTGTCCACTGAGTAGGGACCACATACTCTGCAAAGCTGAAAAGCTTTATCTGGTCCTTTGCAGCCTTGTCTGTTACACACTTGGTTTAGCCTGACTCCATTTTACAGTTGGAGCTGATCCAGAGATGGTAAATAAAAGGCTGCGCTGCCAACAAGTGACATGTCCATGGTTGAGGGCTTTTCGGCTCCTAGATGTGAGCTCCCTGATGCCACTCCTGGGCTATGTGTCAACCAGGTGCATTTGTGCAGAGCTAAGCCATGTGGTCCTCATAACGGGACAGCATTCTTGAGCAGCGCAGCTCACGATCTTCCTTGGTCTCATTCAAGGGGATGATCGGGAAAAGCCCATTTCAGCAAGTGCTTAGAAAAGCTGCCTCCTCTTTAAGTAAACAGAGTTGGGCTGGGGCCTTCCGGTGCAGATTCCTCACATTTATGTGTTTTCGAATTTGTCCTGATTAATGCTCTGTTGTCCTCACTCTGTTCTCAGCCCCATCATGGAAGCATTCGGCAATGCAAAGACAGTATACAACAACAACTCCAGTCGCTTTGGGAAGTTTGTTCAACTGAACATCTGTCAGAAGGGAAATATTCAGGGTGGAAGAATTGTAGATTGTATCCTGTTTCATTTCACATTTATCTTTGCATGTGGCTCTGTTAGGGAAATCTCGGGTCACTTATTGTAAAGGCCCAAAAATACTTGTTACTCTAGTTCAAGCTTATTTTGCTTTAATATTATTGCATTTGTCCTATTAATTATTTTACCAGGTAAATGATCATTTTTCATTTGGAACTATCACATATTATACCTATAGTTTGGATTCATCATTTATTAGTCTGTTTTCTGTTGCTATTATGGAATGTCTGACTGACTAGGTACTTCGTAGAGAAAAGTGTTGTGGTTTAAATAGCTTTAGCGTAGCTGACAGTTTGAGGGGCTGAAAATCCAAGCTCAGTCATTTATTCAGACTCTGGTATAAGCCTTCTAACTCCATAGTAGCATGGTGGATGTTGTCATAGAGGCAGCATGTGTGAGAGATCGATCACATGCTAGGAAGTAAGGAGAGAATCAGGAAGGCTGGACTACATTTTTGACTATTCTTAAGATACTGACATGCCCATGAGATCAGCATTAACATAACTGTAATAACCTTGACCTAGCCACCTCCTCTTGGGTCCCACCTTGTAGAAGGGTTCTACCATTCTCATACCATAGACTAAGGACTCTGCACATGGTCCCTCGGGGCTACATTCAAACCATGTCTACTCTAGCTGTTTGCTTGAAGCCAGTCCCATCATTTGGCACCTATTTGGGCACCATGGCGTTGGAACTGGGTTTAGGTAGAGTGTTGCTTTGATTGATGTGTTTTTGGCACCAGTAGCAACAATGTCAGCAGATTAGGGCGCCGTAACACAAAAGTGAAGACTCACCCTCCCACCATGCCTGTTTTCTTCCTTGACTTGCCATCACTTCTCACATGAAGATTTATTAGAAAAAGTGAGTATGCAGAGCATGATTCAATTCACAGTTTAGAGATTATTTTGTATTATATATTTGCTTATTATAACTTTGATTTCTTCCCACAGAACCGAGTAGTGAGGCAAAATCCTGGGGAGAGGAATTATCACATATTCTATGCACTGCTGGCAGGGCTGGAGCAGGGAGAGAGAGGTGAGTAACAGAGCAGCACAGGCAGGTAGGTGGGTGTCGCCATGTCTTCAGTGTAAAACACACTGGGAATGACGGACCACCTCGGGAATACCCTTGACTTCCACTAATTGCAGTGATATGTGTGTTGTGAGAAGACCAAAGATGCCGAGGTCATCTGAGGATCAAAACAGGAAGAAATTACAGCAGAGAAACCTCTGTTTATAATCGTAGTGCATTTTTAATTTAATGGATATTTGTGAGAAATATATAATGTAATATAATTGGCTTTATTTCAGCGTGTATGTGTGTGTGTACGCATGCGTATGTATCTGTGCTTCTGTGTGTACGTGCATGTACATCTGTGTTTTTGCATGTGTGTGCACGCAGGCATTACGTGCATGCTCGATCACATGCTTGCATATGTATGTGTATATGCTAGTGAGTTTGCATGTTTGTATAACAAAGCTAGAAGTTGGTGTCAGGTGTACCTCAGTGCTCTCTGCCTTACCTTTTAAGACAGGACCACTCACCGAACCTGAAGCGTGCTGTTGAGTCAGTGCCGGTTGGCCTCGAGCCCTGGCGTTACGAGCTCACCATCCTGCATGGCTTTTTATGTGTGTCTGGGGATTGAACTCCGGCTGCTTGACTGAGCCATCTCCCCAGCCTATGGTTGTACTTTTAAAACACACCTAAGTAAAACTAATTTCTAATTTTTTTTTTCTTTTCTCTTTTTGTCCCACTGGAGAATGAACCTAGAACTTATATGTCGTAAGCATGTCATTTCCCACTTAACCATCTCTAACCCTAAATATTTGGCTTTGAAAAGAAAACAACAAAGCAAGACCCTTGTTTGCTTTCTCTGCTCCTATTTAATTTAATGAAGTTGTTTTTATTTTTTTCTGGATTGCTAAAAGGTATCTTTACCAGCATCTTAGAGTGTGGTCATTTAGTGTATAGAATTATGCATGAACTTTTGTTATTAAAACCAGAGTACTGTCTTCAGCATACTCAAGTGAACAGATAAGTATGTAAATTACAATCATGTCTCTGAATTTTGTCAGTCATGCTAGCTGGTACTGATGTTACCTCTTTCTTTGTCTTTCTGTAGAAGAATTTTATTTATCTTTGCCAGAAAACTACCATTACTTGAATCAGTCTGGATGTACTGAGGACAAGACAATCAGTGACCAGGAATCCTTTAGACAAGTTATTGTAAGTTAATATATTTTTTTATCTTCTCAGAAGAGTATGGATTTCATTTTGCTTTAAAAAAAAAAAAAAGCATTTTTTTTTTTGTAATGAAAGCTTGGAAGAAATGTGTGAGAATAGTTCTTTCCCCTGTAAGTCACAGAGGCTTGCTTTCCAGGCTGGAAGGGAATCCCAACTGTTCTTTGGAAGTAGTGAGTGACAGATGTGTGGCTCACTTGGAAGAGCATGGCCAGAGTCTGTACCCTCTACTTCTAGAAACCCCCTCCCCAACCCTGTGCTTTGCACCCCAGCAGCATTTCTCCATGTTTGAGTTTACCCATAGGGTTTCTTTTGAAAAACAGGTTGGACAGCCACGGATGAGGTAACTGTAGGATTGTCATACTCTTCCTGCAGCCTCTTCCTTGGAGCTGGTTCTGGTTACGTGGACAGTGCTGTCTCTGGCTCGTGGCGACAGTAGGCACTAACACCTCTCGCTTTTCACAGACGCTCAGGACAGTGTGACTGCACTGAGTGAGCCTGGTCATCACACGCTGTAACAGCCTATCTGACTGACTGTGGCTGGCGATCACACCATGGTGGGCTCAGTGTCTTTGCCAGAGTCCTCAGCCTTAGGATACTGTGTGCCTAGGGGTGACTCATCCTTAATTAGAATCATGTATAAATATAGCTGACACAGTGCATGCATCCCTGTGTATCCACTACTTATAGTTTCACATTGAACTGTCAGCAGAGGAAAAAATGCTTTAAAATGTAGTCAGCATATTCAGGCCTTTTTTTCTTGTTGCCATTCCCTAAATAACAGTTATATATTATATATATTATGTATTGCTTTTCCTGCTTTCAAGACACTTTAGCCATATCTTCGTAAGTCACAGTGTGTGGTGCCTTCAACAACAGGCATCCAGCATCCGGTGCTAGTGTGTCACCAAGAGCAATGGTAGTATCCTGTAGAGTTCAGGGAACCTCTGGGGTCTCACTACCCAACAGGTGATGCACAGAGATGAATGGCATGTGATTTCAAAGTGACTATTAGTCACACATAAGTTTTCCTCATCCCATGTATATAATCTGTATAGAAGTTGGAAGTGGAATTCAAGCTGGTCATGGTAGCTCATGCTTGTAATCCCAGCACTTGGGAGGCTGAAGTAGGAGGATTGAGTTTAAGATTAGCCTCATATACAGGGTTAGACCTTGTCTCAAAAGGCAAAAAGATAAAGTAAAAAGAGAAAAAAGGAAATTAAAAGCAGATGAGGTAGTGATGTGATCACCTGCTCTGTTGGAAATCACACAAATGTACAGAGTAGTACAGTGTGGTCTCTCCCTCTCTCCCAGTGTTTCTATCTCTCTCTGTTCCTTCTCCATCTCTGATACTAACTGTTGCTATTCTATCTGTTCTCCATTACCAGGATCAAACCTGGGCCTGCACACAGGCAAGGCCAGTGCTTTGCCTCTGAAGATAGCACTTTTTTGTGTATGTACCACAGAGGGAAAAGATTTGTCCACAAAAGTTGGATTTTGTGAAGTATTCTTTAAAGTACTGTTAACGCCCATATCTCTGAGTCCCACATCTCCAAAAATAACCAAATTTAGATGGAGAAAGAAGTTTGCATCTCCACAAACAATATAACATAAGAACTGTTGCTTTTATACTATGTGCCTTGGGTTTTAAGTCTGCAGGGCAGCCAGGCTCTGTGACAAATGTCTGTAATCTCAGCACTGGGGAGGCTGAGGCAGGATGACTGATGGAAATTTGAGGCCGGCCTGGCTACTTAGTGAGTTCAAGGCCGGCTGGGGATACATAGCAAACCATTTCCTATAAATAAAGTATGCAGCATGAATGTTTGGGCCCTATGCAAATGCTGCAGAAATTTAAATGCAGAATTAGATTATGTTTTTGTGGATTTTTTTTTACACCCTGGGGATCCTAGCACTAGTGCCCCACAGGTTCCGAGAGACACACATGTTTTACACTGCCATCATTCTCTTCTGGTCTCACAGTTTTCCCACTACAAAGCCTTCTTCTCTCACAGTTTATTTCTTAGTGTCTTTGTTGAAGAAGCATGTGTTGAAATTATCGCTCCTCCTTACTTTTGATGAGTAAGGAGAAAGAGCTTGCCTTGGAAATTTTTCCTTCTGTTTATGCTTATTTTTTGATGCTGAAGAAAGATAATTTGTCATTAAAGGACACTGTTGATGTAGACCGACAAGATAGGTAATTAACTAGTCTAATCTCGCTGCAGTCCCCACTGCCAGAGAGCTGTGGCCACTAGATACATTGCCTGGGAGGACCTTGGGTGCTGTTCCCTTTCTTCCTCTAGGGGCATCATTTCCCTATACAAAACGGTTCCTTTCTGTTGGCTCCAAGTCAATTTAGGGAGCTTGTCTTTCTTAATCCCTGTGTTTAAGCTTTAGGGTTTCATTGAAATAACAACTGTTGGCATTTGAAATTTAAAATGATATATCATGTTAAAAGGCAGCAGAATTTATATATAAAATCCACATAATGTTCCTGACTAACATGTTCTAGGTACACATTCTCTTTATGGATAACCTTGTAGATCTGTAAATTAAATATTTGATTTACAGACACTTTTTTGTATTTTCCTACCATAAGTATTAATGAAAAATTAGCTGGTCTTTACTAAGATCATGGATATGAAGTTTTGCTATTATTATTTAACTAATTAGTTTTATTCTAGAAGTTCTAAGCAAGGCTTTAAAAACGTAACTTTTATGGAGAAGGAGTAAAAATAGTTCTTTCTGGAAACAGCAAGGTTTTCCTCCTCCCAAACTTTCTAGAATTAAGAATTGGGATTTAAGGTAGTTTATTATACATATAACTGAGACCCATTGTAGCAAGTAAAACACACGGTTACACACTGAAAACTTTCATTTTTATATAAGAAACAAAGAGGGTATAAGGCAGCAATATGTGTTATACATATATAGAATCCCTTTATTTAAAAATTCTTTCATGTATCATATACTTATAGCAATTAAAAGTAGAGAAGAAATACCAAAGCAAAAATGTTTCAAAAGTGTTACTTTACATGGCACAATTGTATGGTTTTATTTTATTCTGTGCCATTCTCTGAATGTCATGTTTTCATAATGAACATGTTATCTCTGTAGTGATTATATGGTTATTACTTGGGAGGACACCTGCTTTTCCACGGACCAGAGGCCGTGAAAGGATGCTCAATGTCAGAGCCAGTTTTCGTATAGCCTTCGAAATTGCACCGTAAATTTTTCGTCTGAGATGAAAAGCTATTTCAAGTCAGAAGTAACAGCTAGTTTATTTTACTGCCTCCATCTGGCCTGCCAGGATGATGGCTGACGAAACGTGTGTGACGTAGCAAGAGACTTTGACGCATATGGTCTGTTTGTTTCTTACTTCACAAATAGTATTTACAGCATCCTTGCTGTGGACCACTGCTAAGATTTCCGGCCTTCACCGACCTTACTGCATGTGTGCAGGGGTTTTGAGTGGTGTGTGCGGCCATATGATGTGTATGCAGATTCATTCTGCATGAAACATTGCATTACTTTTCAAACAATTGATTTTTTTTTCCAGTGAATTTTGGAACTTGGGAGCCGTTGACCTAGAGAACAGATAGGAAGTTGGGAATGTTGCTAAGTTGGTAGAGTCTTTGCCTGGTGTGCGCAGAGCTCCCAGTGCAGCCCCAGCACTGCACTGCACCACTGCAACCGTGTGTGGTGGCGCTCACTAATTTCCATGAGGAGGCGGAGGCAAGACAATTAGAAACGCAAGGCCTTTCCTACATAGGGGTCAGAGCCAGCCTGGGCTACTTGCAACCCTAGCCTCAAAACAAAACAAAACAAAAACCAAACAAGGAATAGAGGAGAGTCCGGGGAGATGATGGGTTTACTGTAGAACGGCATTGCACAGGGACTGTGCCAACTTCGTATCTAAAGATACTGAAGCAAGGGGAAGTTTTCACAGTGAGGAAGATTCCACAGGTTGAAGTACTGATCCCTTGTGCAGGGATCCATAGCAAGTGACGGGGTGATAGGCCGAGGTCCTTGAACTGCTTCCTGTGAGGACACTGGTGCTGGCCACGGATTCTGCAGAAATCTTCTTGTCAAACATATATGCAGCAGAGTCCTTCCTTCATGCCTCTTTTACATGATCTAGCCAGCTGCAGCTTGACACAAATAACTCCACTTTGAGTCCCACAGCCTCTAGTCAATAAAAGCTACTGTCGTACATGAACTAGTTTCACGTAACACATACATGTCATAATGTGGTGTTATATAATACATACTACCGGAGTACTTATTTGCCATTTATTAAGCTCCCAACAGGCCCTTTTCCACTCTTTCAAGCATACCATGGGTCAGGGTTCAGTCAAGGTCCCTGTGCTTTCTGAGAGGGTCACTTATCTCTGGTTTCTAGTGTGACACACTTACTGCTAGTGTGACAATCTGCTATTATAGATTTTAGCATCACATATCACCCCAAACCACGCTCACGGACAGCTATTCTATGTGCTTAGTAAAAACTTCTATTGAAAAAAGTCTCCGTGTAAGTCTGTACCCATTTTGTAACTAAGCTGTCTTTAGCAATAACAAGCCTTACTGAGAATTTCCCAGGACTTTTATTTCGGTCTTGAGCCATATTATTGAGATAATAATTATAATAGCCTTAAACACAGCTACTCTTGCCAGAGGGAATGGGAGGCTGCTTAGTAAACAATTACAAAAAGGACATCAGGACAGTAAATGGAGGTTCTTGCTCGAAGGTTTTACACACATGCCCATGCTGGTGATAATTGCTGAAGCAATTAAATTTCCCTATGATTAATTCAATTACCATTATCACCATAGTCTAATTCAATAACATTTAAAATTAGACTTGAAAACAAAGAGGTTTATTGGTGTAGTGGTGGGATACACCTTTAATCCCAGCACTCAGGAGGCAAAGATAGGTGGATCTCTGTGAGTTCAAGGGCAGCCTGGTCTACAGAGAGAGTTCTGGGACAGCCAGGGCTGCACAGAGAAACCTTGTCCTGAAAAACAAAACAAACAAAAAAGAAATTAAAACTTCATTAGTACAGTTAACATATTAACCCTGTTCCATTTTACATTTGCGTGCTCAAGCTTTGGGTGTATTTTAAGAAGTTAGCCAAGATATTGTGTGTGTGTGTGTGTGTGTGTGTGTGTGTGTGTGTGTGTGTGTTTGTGTCAGTCTGTGCCTGCATGCACGCGCACATGCTTGCATGGAGTGCAGCTGCAAATGTGTCATGGTGAGAGCTCAGGAACATCCTGTTGTGTCAGCCAGCGGCTTTCACTGTGTTTGAGGTGGTCTGTTGTTGGCGCCCAGTCTTCTAGGGGTTCTCTTTATACCTTGCCCCCATCACCCCAGCACGCTAGGACTGCAGATCCATATACTGTGTCAGGCCTCTGGCTCCTCCGTGCTTCTGGGATCTAAGTGCCAATGTAAGGCTTGCACGGCAGGCACGCTACCCACTGAGCCATGTCCCCAGCCCCTATAAGTATTGTTAGGGACTGTGTGCTGATACTTTCTCTCTCGATAGGAACTGCCTGCTACTGTTCACACATATTTTAAAATCTACTTACTTTTTGTACTGTAGAGCCTGGGTAGGTGACTTGGTAAAGGTGTTCTTTTCTGTGGTTGTTGTGAAATTGGCTGAGGGGGCAAAAAAAGAAACAATTTGTTTCGCTTATTGAGATGACAACATGCTATTCAAACGAAGATACCCTTGACTTGGTGCTGCTTGTCCCTCCCCAACCTCCCAAGTGCTGGGCTTATGGCCGTGTGCTACCACCATGGCTTTTGACTTAGAAAATATCTATAGAGTCATAGAAAGAAAGGGCAGAATTGCCCTTTTCCCAGCATAGCTACTCTGTAATTACTGATTTCTGACTTGGTTTTTATCTTTGCTTTAAATGTCTTGAGAATAAGAAATGATTAATACTTCTTAACCACATTTCTTTGCTCTCACTTTCTGCATATCCTTTTACCCCCAGTTCATGTAAAGAAAACAGTGTTCATTGTGCCTCAGTGTTGGAGGGAGGAGCATCTTGTTCACTTGTGACGACAGTGATTCCTAGGAAGTTGTTTAGTAATATAAGTGAGAGGCTGTCTGTACCACAGGTGGGGCGGTCATGTGTTGAAGGCATTCTTCATTTCTACTGTGTGTGTGTGTGTGTGTGTGTGTGTGTGTGTGTGTGTGTGTGTGTGTTTTAACATGGAGCATTGTTAAAGTTGGTAGTGTTTTGTTTTTTCTCATTAGATCCGTACCTAATAATTTAACTTGGTCATCAACACTTTTTAATTTTTTCTTCTAGACCGCAATGGAAGTCATGCAGTTCAGCAAGGAGGAAGTTCGGGAAGTGTTGAGGTTGCTGGCTGGGATACTGCATCTAGGCAACATAGAATTTATCACTGCTGGAGGGGCTCAGGTTTCCTTCAAAACAGGTGAGATGATGCCTGCCAGCCTTCCATCCCTTGCCCCCTGCCACTTCCTTCCCATCTTCGACTTCAGTGTTTTCCAGAAAATTGATACCTGGTCTTCTACAGAGAAGTTTTCTGACATTGAGAATAGAGCTGTAGGTTTCCTCCCTCTCTGAACCCGTGGTCTCATCCGCTAGCAAGCACATGAGCTCAGGAGCTATGGAGCATCACTTATAATGTAAAGTGTCTGGGCAGCAGTCAAGAGTCTCTGAAAGTTCCTGAATTGGGGTTGGTGTCCTTATTCCTACTAAGAAGCACAATGGGCCAGATAAGTAGAAATATGAGCAACATGTCTTTGATGTAGGGAAAGGGCTGAGTCAGGCAGCATCCTGCTTTGCCTTGGGTTTTATAGTTGCCCAGCCCTGATGCCCTGTGACAGCCTGTCAGACTTTTGTCCGCCAAGCAGAATGCTGGGTTGTAGCCCAGCTCTCCCACAAGTTTTTCTCCTGTTACTTATCTCTTGGCTCTTACTGACTTTCTCTTGGTAGAGTACTAAAGAGTTCGTTGTCTGTATAAAATGCCAGTTGAGGTACTCTTAAACATACATTTAAGCATTTTGGGAATTTTCCTGATGGAAGCAATAAAAGCTGTTGCAGAAACCGGAAACTGGATGTGTTTGGGGTCAAGGTATCTTTCCAGGAGCCCCTTCCGTGGTCAGTGGTTATCAGTGTTTGACCCACCTAGTTCCCGTCAGTGCCTTAGGAGCCTGAAGAGCCTGTGTTTAGAGTTGGAGAGTGAGTGACTGGTGACATTTTGAAAGGGCCTATGTTCTGTAACTCCAGTTCTTGAGGACCCAGCACCCTCTCTTGGCCTCTTTGGGCAAGGGCTATACATAGCCGTACACACAGACAAAATAACTCGTGTGTGTGTGTGTGTGTGTGTGTGTGTGTGTGTGTGTGTGTGTATTCTTTTAAAAGCCTTTGTTTGTGTGTGTAATGTATACTCACATTTACTGCATTAAAAATTATGATTGTGGGTTTGGTTGTGTGCCAGACGCTGGCACAGGAGGATAGCAAGTTGCTGATCAGCAAGCTAGGCTACAGAGCAAGCCCATCACCAGGCGAGGCAACCAGCGCACCACCGCATCTCAGCAACATAAGCCATGAGAAACATAAGACATGTGTTTATCAGCCGAGCTGGGAATCCGACTCGTTCAATAGAGTGCTTGCTCTGCAGGCGTGAGGACCTGGGTTCTAATCCCCAGCACCCATGTCCAAGTTGGGTAAGGTAGTGTCTGTCTGTAACCCCTGCAACCCCAGAACAGGGAGGGACAGAGACATTTGGATCCCTGGAGCTCCTTGACCAGCCAGTTTAGCCAAATCAGTGTGGGTTTTTCACAGCTTCAGTGAAAAACCCAGTCTCAAAAATAGGGTGGAGAGTGATTGAGGGAAACACTCATGTCAACCTCTGGCCTCCATCTGTGTGCACACATGTATACATGTATATGAGCACAATATATACCACATACATACATCAATTCACTCAATAACATTTAATATACATCTTACATGTTAAAAATAAATATATTTTTCTTTTCCCAAACAAAAATGTCAATGAGAAGAGGTCTACCGTTTCACCTTTTGGCCACTTTCTTTTTTTAACTTTGTTATTATCATCATTTTAATTGAAATATAATCACATCATTTCCCCTTCTTCTCTTCAACTTCTCCTATTCCGCTCACTCCTTCTCAAATCCATAGCCTGTTTTTCTTCATTGTTATTATTACATATGCACACATCAATGTATAAGTACAACAAACTGAATTCATGTTTTGCCATTGATAGGTATATGATTTCAGGATGGCCACTTGGTGCTGGATAGTCATCCCTAGGGAAGACTGCTCTTCCCTCTCTCAGCATTCCTTAGTTGCCTGTAGTTTTTCACCTAAGGGTGAGTCCTCATGAGATTTCCCCCCTTTCCATAATAGCTTATCTATTGTGTTGTCTTTCTTCAGGTCTTGTTTTGTCAGCCATATTGTTGAGGAATGGATGAAACCTCCCTGTCATTTCTAGGAGACACAATTGCGCAGCAGGTTTCCTGGTTCTCTGTCTCTTTGAATCTTTCTACAACCTTCTCCCTGAACTCTAGGCATATGAGTGGTGTTGTAGATGTGTCCATGAATCTGGGTACCCCATGATCAGTTGTTCCCCGAATATTGACCAGTTGTGGTTTTCTGCAGTAGTTTCTGTCTGTAACAACCTTCTTTAATGTCCCACATCATAAAAACGGTATACACAAGTCAAACTTGCAAAAGCAGCGAATACTCCTAACTGTTGGATCATTTCTCTAGCCCCAATAGCTTGTATCTGTTTGTAAATTCAGTTTGCTAAGATGCCCTGTGTCCTGTAACCTCTTGATGGCTTTTCTGTTCTGGCCAGAGAACGGTAGTGGCAAAGCCAGTCACAGTTGAGTGCTACCAGTGAAAACAACCACAAAGCCTCTTCAGTATCGCAGGATCTCCAGCCAACACTTTGCCCAGTCACTGGGTCCTTCTGGGATCAGTAAAGGATTTATTAACTTACCAATGAGATATGTCCCTCATTTCTGCCTGAGGAATTATGGGACATCCACTGCTTTCTGGTGTGGCTGTATGTGGCTGGATTTGAATTGAGGCCCAGCGTCTATTGTGTTTGAGTGACTGAGGATTCACCTGTTGCCTCCCTTTCACTTTCAGCTTTGGGTAGGTCTGCGGAGTTACTTGGGCTGGACCCAACACAGCTCACAGATGCGCTGACCCACAAATCCATGTTCCTCAGGGGAGAAGAGATCCTCACGCCTCTCAGTGTTCAGCAGGTATGGCTGCCTGCCCTCAGTGCCATTGAAACTTGTCTCAGAGATACACTTGGGGTTTCCCTTCCATGCCTCTACCTTTACTTTGCCTGTGTGACCACAATGAACTGTTGAAATGACTGGCTCGTTGGCAAAATATAAAGGATGCCTAACTTTGAGGAAAAGGTGTCATCAAGTGACAGGGCAGTGTAGTTCTGATGAGCTGGGGTCTGATACAGGCCACCGGAGGACTGATCCTTCCGGTTAAGGCTGTCTGTTCTTGGGAAATGTGTTCACTATGCCTCAGTTCCATCTTCCATAAGTCATAGTATCTTATGAAGATAAAATAAGAAATACTCAGCATGTGCTGCAGAGTAAGCCCACACTTAAAATAAGCCAGGAACGTTATTATCCTCACTAGACTGAAGACTGCGGATCTGTCTGTGAAGCTGAGTGTTATTTGTCTTAGCCTCTGCACTGCTGTGAGTCCATTTACATTGACTAGCTCTTCAAAGTTCCTTCTACATTTCTTTATTACACTGATTTATTTGTGTTTGTGCCTAGCACTCATGTATAGAAAGCAGAGGACAAATTGTGGGAGTTGATTTTCTCACGTGGTTTCTAGGGATTGACACTGATGATCAGGCTTGGTGCCAAACAGCTGTCCCCACTGAGCCATATCACCTGTCCTTTCTAATCCATCTATCTGTATATCTTTTCCTTTCCTTTCCTTTCCTTTCCTTTCCTTTCCTTTCCTTTCCTTTCCTTTCCTTTCCTTTCCTTTCCTTTCCTTTCCTTTCCTTTCCTTTCCTTTCCTTTCCTTCCCTTTTCCCTTCCCTTCCCTTTCCTTTCCTTTCCTTTCCTTTCCTTTCCTTTCCTTTCCTTTCCTTTCCTTTCCTTTCCTTTTCTTTTCTTCTCTTTTCTTCTCTTTTCTTCTCTTTTCTTCTCTTCTCTTCTCTTCTCTTCTTGAGATAGGGCCCCACAATGTAGCCCTGACTGACCTGGAATGCTCTGTGTAGACCAAGCAAGCCTTAAATGCTTAGAGACTTGCTTGACTCTGACTCCCTTTTATTTAAAGACATGTTCCACTACACCTAGCTCAAATAAAAATATTATCCTATCATGAAAAAAAATCTATGAGTAAAAACTTAAAAAAAAAAAAATTAAAAGTGAATAGGGCAGTCCTTAGCTTAGCTGCCTCTTTTGCTGGATGACACTGGTTCATTTAGCCGTGAGTCCTTCCCCAGATCACCGAGTCCCCAAGCAGGGTGGGGCAGGCTGGTTATACCTTCTGCCACGGTCTTCCCCACTCTAGGCAGTAGACAGCAGAGACTCCTTGGCCATGGCACTTTATGCACGCTGCTTCGAGTGGGTGATCAAGAAGATCAACAGCCGGATCAAGGGCAAAGAAGACTTCAAATCGATCAGCATCCTTGACATCTTCGGATTTGAAAACTTCGAGGTACGCCTGCAGAGAGTGGGATGGGTGCCTTCTACTTATAAGCTGCTCTTTCACATGTCTCTTAGAGCAGCCATGGATGTTTTTCCTTTAAGACATTTCTTCTGTCTTGACCCTTTGTCACGTTTCTATGTACCTTTGAGGGCCCTGAAGAACTTACTCACTGTATCCCACCCTTAGGTTAACCACTTTGAGCAGTTCAATATCAACTATGCAAACGAAAAGCTTCAGGAGTACTTCAACAAACATATTTTTTCTTTAGAACAACTAGAATATAGCAGGTAAGTACACAGGATTCCTCTTCAAAATCTTTTTAATCAGCAAGTAAATCAATGTGAGGGTGCATCTTAATTTCATGTGGTCCTTTTTCTTCTTCCTGCAGAGAAGGATTGGTATGGGAAGACATTGACTGGATAGACAATGGAGAATGCCTAGACTTGATTGAGAAGGTAATGGGTAGTTGAAGAATGAATGGTTGCAGTCCCAAGGGTGTCCAGCTGGGCTGATTCATATTTATGGGAACAAAATAACTTGTGCAAACATGCACTTCAAAGATGTGAATGTTTAGAACACAATGGGCCATTTGGAAACATGAATGTAAATACACCGTGAGGTTGAATTTAAATACTTGGCTGCTTCCAGCCTATTGTCTCATTGAACTGTGTATTTTAGAATCAACAGTGTGTGTGAACTGGCCTCACTTAGATATTAAGTGCCAGCAAAGTCTTATTGAAAGCACTGTTAGACTTGCCAGTTCTAAAGTTTTTTCTATAACATTTCAGTGGGTCCCATTTTTTAAAAGACTAATATAGAATGTCATTGGTTTTCTTTGTGCTGTATCATTCTGGTTTTTTCAGTCCCTCAAGATGGCAGTGATGTTTCTCTTTTGAAGCACAGACTTGCTAGGAGATGGAATGAGTTTTATCTTTGAAGTACTTTGGAAAACAGACATTCCACGCTTAATTCATTCAACCTTTGTCTCTCCTCCTGTAGAAACTTGGCCTCCTTGCCTTGATCAATGAAGAGAGCCATTTTCCTCAAGCCACAGACAGTACTTTGTTGGAGAAGTTACACAATCAACATGCTGTATGTCAAAACCTTGCCAGCCTTTCATTTTTGTCTGAGCTGCAGATCTGAGGTGTTGAGTGATATGAGTTATGTCCAGTGCTGCTGGCATGCTATGCCTTCCACATTTAGTGTTCTGTGCCCCTTAACTTGAAGCTTTTCTCTTCTTTGACATAATAGACCTATATTGAGAAAAGTTAGCTTTGGGGCTAACAGAATATGCCCACATTTATCTCATCAGTGGAGAACTGAGACGTTTAACCTCTTGTTGTGAGAGACTTGAGAGCAATGCTTATATATCACTCTGATGGTATGTGGCTAGTTCTTCAGTTGTTGCCTTAGGTTAAATGTGGATTTTTCTGGAAGTCAAAGGAAATCAATGACTAATAAGGTAATAAGGCCTTTGTGTGTTTTCTTCTTACCTTAGAATAACTACTTTTATGTGAAGCCCCGAGTTGCAGTCAACAATTTTGGAGTGAAACACTATGCTGGAGAGGTAATTTCTTCTTAAGATATTATGGAGATTGAGGATGTGGCTCAGTTGCCAGTGCACTGACTAGGAATATGAAAAACACTGAGTTTGATACCCAGTGCCACATAAGCCAGGCATGGTGGTGTGTGCCTGCAACCTCAGGGCTGTAGAAGCAGGGAGATCAGAAGTTAAAGTTCATAGCCGAGGCAAAGTGCAACTCTCACCGCACAGGGGAAAGAGAGAGTTTTATTCTTAAGTAAAATACAGTGGCGATACCCAGGATCACAAGTGTAGGTGACCCTAAATGCCACATTCCTAGGTGGTAACAGTTTCATGAAGTTTTCTAGTAGCAGAGGAATCATAAACCAAGACACTCCTCAAGTGCATAGATGGGAGTACCAGGTAGGTGGGCACAGCAGTGAAAGCATGGAGCCTCTGCTACAGGCCTCTAAGGGCATTCTTAACTTTGCTCTTGGTGGAAGCTTAGCCATCTGTTGAATTAATGCATCCCAAAAGGTTTCATGTGATAGTCATAAGGACATTAGGTCATATACAGAGGAGGATAATGGCTATTCAGGAGGCCAAGATAGGCGTAACTAGGCACCCTATCTATAACATCGCAAATTGTCCTGTGTAGGACGGTCAAGCAGATACAATGCCTTCTTTCTGGGAATTTCATCAGAAATTCAAGGACATTTTTACCTACAGAGGCAAGTGTGAGGTCAGCCTGGGCTGCATGAGACCAACATAAATACATATATACTTACATACATATGTATGTACATACATAACATTAATAATACATTTATAAATAAATGCAACCACAGGGTATTTATTCATATTTACTCACTTGGTGTGCACAGGAAGTAGTTGTTTGAGAAGCCAGGCACAGCTTTGTTAAAATGCTTGCTCTTCGATGAATTGGGCTTTTACAGAAGTTGTTAGCTGGCTGAGGTAGCATCTGCCTGCGATCCCAGCTCTCAGGATGCTCCCGAGGCTGAGTCTAGTCTGTGCCTCATACAGAGAGCTAATACCAAAAGAATAAGAGTAGTAGATTATAACTTAGAAGTAATTTATTGAGAATGTGACACCTCCTCTTATTTTGTTTATAAACTAGGTGCAGTATGATGTCCGAGGCATCTTGGAAAAGAACAGGGACACCTTTAGAGATGACCTTCTCAACCTGCTGAGGGAAAGCAGGTATGTCAGGTCTATGAAATCATTAGCAAGCAATTTATCATTTGTACAAATGTGCGTAATTTGTCAATACAGAACAAACTGCTATTGTAGCACTTCACTTAGCTTCTGTTACGCAGATGAGGCTGGGAGCAGCTGAGTGATTTGCTGAGGATATCCCAGCTGGTAGCCAGAGGCTGAGCTTAGATATTGAGTATGTTTGGCTCAGGAACCTGATCTTGACCAGTCCAGTCAGCTTTCCCCACTACAGTCATTGAGCTGTTTTAATTTTAGGTCTGGTTTTATAGGATCCTGTTTCTCATTGTTGTGAGATGTCAAGAAAAATAAGCAAGTGTTAATGCAACCAGAATTATAAAGATATTATACATGTGTTTATTCATTCACTCAGGAATTGTATATTCACACAATCAACTCAAGAGTAAGGAAAACATATAGAAAATTTTAGTGATTAGTTTAGCTATTTGTATCTATCACCTCAGGAAGTTCCTTATTGTCCAGTGACTTGATAAAAGAGAAAGGGTTTGAGACAAAGCCCTTTCTTGTAGGCTTTGCAAACCTTTGGGGGAGCTAGCATGAATATATACAGAAATAACTTTTAATGTCTAAGGAAGGAAGTAGACAATTGTTAAAAAGCTGTGCTATTTCTCAGAGTGTAAATAGCAGGTGGTCATCCTGTGGCTTAGCCAGCTAAGAATTGGGGTGAAGGGAGCCAGGCTAAGCTCAGAAGCTGAAGCGTTTGATCTTTAAACTTCTGTTCTCTCATGTGAAAATGCACGGCTTAAACTATTCTCAGCTACTTCTATTTGTAGATGAGCTTTCAGACCTGCAGAAAATACAGGATGCTGGAAAAATGCCACAGCATGTTACCTGTCAACGCTGTCTCAGCTGTGAGCATTGAAAGGGTACATTTAAATACAATCTGCCTGTTGGTTTCAAGTGGAAGTGTTTTCTTGTGGTGAAAGAAAGGCTCACAGGCTGGAGAGCTGTAGACCAGGGTCAAGGGCTGTCTCTGTCTTAGTGGGAAGGGGTGCTGCTGCAGCCTGAGGTTCCCCTTTGCAAATGGGGGAGCCTGCTTCCCTTTCACCTTTGACATCTTTGACCTTTCAATGGAATGCAAGCTGTCCTTTGAGAGCTCAGAGCACGGTTGGAATACTTAACAGTGTAAGTATTCCCTGAGCAGCCGAGTGAAAAATTTCTGAGGCACAGTGAGGAGCCATCTTGAGGATAGATAGTGGAGGGGTGTCCCTTCTGCCCTCCATTGTGACAGTGAAGCTATCAGCCTCTCCAGCTTTAGAGCCCGTAATGTCCACTATGCCAGAAAGATAACTAGTTACTGAGAAGTGTTTTACTGTAGTAATAGTGGCAATGGTTTAATAAATTTTAGAGCTGGGATCCGTGCTGGCCATGACCCAGGCTCTGTGCTTCTGGCCTTGTACCACACTTCCTCATTTTATTCTTGCTTTACAGTCAGAGAACAAATTCTAAAATTACTCCCATTGTTCCAGATGAGCCATCTGAGGCCTAGAGAGAGAGATAGAGCATTTCATATTTATGATACAGCTAAGAAGTAGAAGAGGCAGGACAGGATTTGCACATTTGTCCACCTCATTCCAGATGTCTCTACTTGAACCTCCCAACACTTGTCTTCAGGACAGTGCATGATGGGCATAACGTAGCCAGCTTTGCGTGTGTTCCTTCCTCCGTAGAGCTGATCAACTGTTGATTGAAAATATTTGTAAAACAAACAAACAAAAAGCCTGTGGCTGTGCTGAACATGTATGCACCAGTTATTCCCTAAACCAGTGGTTCTCAAACTGTGGGTAGTGACCCCTTTGGGGATTGCAGGACTCTTTCACAAGGGTTGCCTAAGATTATCAAAAAACACAGATATTTACATTACAGTTCCTAACAATAGCAAAATTACTGTTTTAAGGTGACAACAAAAACTATTTTATGCTTGGAGGTCACCACAGCAGCATTAAGAAGGTTGAGATCCATTGCCCTAACCAATGACACTTAATTAGTATTTAGGGAGAACGTCCACTGTGTTGTTACTGTAAATAAGCTAGACATGGTTTAAGGTGTATGAGAGAATGTGTAGGTTCCATGCAGGCCCTGCCCTATTATTAATAAGGGACTTGAACATTTTGGGCATTGGTTTCCATGGAAGGTCCTGGAAACTATTCCCTCTCCATCTTGAGAGGCTACTGTATCGAATTGTGCAGATGAAGCAGTGAAAGCTGCAGGGTTAAGGTTGGTCTCCAGATGCACCTGTTTCTCAGGGAGACTTTACCCCGGGTCACTGTCTTTCCATTTTCTCTCTGGTAGACTCTGGTGCTCCACGGAGCACCTCAAACTGCCAAGCAAAGGATGGCTGACTCTTTCTTTGCATGCTCTAGTGGCTCTTAAGGTCACTGTGTACTTTGTTAATTAGCATCATGGAAATACACTGCAGGACCGTGGCAAGTACCTGGCAGTCATGCGTGCATACCTCACAGCCCTGTGCTCCCTTCACACAGATTTGACTTCATCTATGACCTCTTTGAACATGTCTCCAGCCGAAACAACCAGGACACCTTGAAGTGTGGAAGCAAACACCGGCGACCCACTGTCAGCTCACAGTTCAAGGTCAGTCTGCAGCACTGGCCTGCAGGACTCTGTCATTCTTCCGTGTCAGTCTGTGATTCAAAGAACTAGGGCCGCCTAGAGTCGGGCATATGAGCTGGATGAGTTTCTATTAAGTCACAGTTTCAAAGCAGGTAGAGCTTCATAGGCTCACACCACAACCCAGGGGTTTGAGGACATTCAGTAGTAGAGTTCTTTCTTTCTTTTTTTTTTTTTTTTTTCAGTCATTCTTGAGAGTCTTGGTTCAATGTCCAATGCTTAAAAAGAAAGGTATACACAAGAATATTTAGACTTTCTGTGAGATTTTATAAATTAAATTAACAAAATAATTTTTACTATTCTTTCCCTCTACTGGTGTGACACTCTCATAATTACCCAGGTCATTAAAGTATTTCATTAGTTCAGATCATATTTTTAGTTCTGGAGATGGGGTGAGAAGGACTGTGGTTGTACCAATGTCCATGTGTTTGGACATTAATATTGACAATATATTCAGCAGTTTATTGTCTCATTACTTTACCACAGAAAGAACCTGGGATGCTTATGGTAGCTATAAAAGAGATGCATATACAGATCTTATATACAGGAGAATTTGTAGGACAATGAAGTATTTTAAAAGGTATATATGTATATAATAGACATTAATGTGTCAAGATATGTATTTTCACATAATGCATGAAAATATGTCTTAAGTTGGGCATGGTGGCACATGCCTGTAATCCTAGCATTCTAGGAGGCAGAAGCAGCCAGATCTCTGAGTTCGAGGCTTGCCTGGTCTAAGTGAGTCTAGGACAACCAAGACTACCACAGAAAAACCCTGTCCCGAAAAACAAAATTAATTAATTATTAATTAATTAATAAGGGAAAGCTATTTAATTCTAAGCTGTTGAAATACCTGGTCTTCAGAATGCTTATTTTGTGTTCCCAATAATTTTTATTGTATTTAACATTTCATGTAAAAATAGGGCATATTTCTTTCCATGTCTGAACATTGGCCTTATATATATATACAGACATAGACATATCTATGTACATATGTATATATAGACATATATTCATATATATATACGAGGGGGAAGGGAGATACATATCATACCTGGGAAGAATGACCATTTTATATCCGAGTAGTAGTGATGTCAGTTACTCAAATTCATGGGAAATAAAGAACATCAGCATTTTTAAATTTATGTATGAGTGCTCTATCTACATGTAGAGCTCTACATGCATGTATGCTAGCATGCCAAAAGAGAGCATCAGATTTCAGTATAGGTGAGCCACCATATGTGTATTGGGAATTGAACTCCAGACCTCTGGAAGAGCAGACAGTGCTCTTATCCTCTGTCTCTCCAGCCCGGAATATCAGCATTTTGGATGTGCAGGCATTTTTCTCTCATAGGAAGTACAGCCCATGAATACTGCTGCCCCTCACTTAATTATCTGTTTGCCCTTAAGTGAAAATCCAGACTGCAGGGGCAGTGCACCCTGGCCGTCAGCAGGATAATGGATCCACCTGTGAGGTGCACCTAGAAACCTGGGGGTGTGCTGCTGGTGACGGAGGGGAGGGAAGCACACGCCAGCATGGCTGACAGTCTGGGGAGTGCAGCCCGCACACAGAGAAGGTGTGGGGATACCAGCTCCCATCTCTTAAATACCTCTGTCAGGCGCCGGCCCACGCACTGTTGCTCCTACTCTCACATCACCTCTACATGCCACTGTCTCCATCTTACAGATGAGATTTGGGGGAGTACAGATACCCAGTAGGCTCCACAGACGAATGAGCTAGGACCGGAGTTGGGCCTCTGTGTGTCAAGCTCTAGATCCTAAATATTTAAGCGAGAACTTTGCCTTGTTTGATATTATGGTGAGATCACTTAAAATGAATATCTCTTGTTCCTCTGATTTTTCTGGGTTTTGTTTTGTTTTTATTCTGACTAAACCCACCTGCCCTCTTCCTCCCCACAGGACTCCCTGCATTCCTTAATGGCAACCCTAAGCTCCTCTAATCCCTTCTTTGTTCGATGCATCAAGCCAAACACACAGAAGGTAAGGCTCCTAAGGGCCAGCCTGGGCTCTCCAAAAAAAAAAAAGGAAAGAAAGAAAAAATATTTTCTGTTGCAGCTGTTTTTTAAGTTTTCCTTTTTAGCATTATTGTTTATTGTTAAATGCTGTGACATTATAAACTAAGTGACAATGTGTTTTAAGAACTTTATTTTATTTTATTTTTTTATTTTATTTCATGCGAATGCCTATGTGTATGTCTGTGCACTGGGTGAGTGCCTGATGCCCTCAGAGGTCAGAAGAGGGCATTGGATCCCCTAGAACTGGCATTACGGAGGGTTGTGAGATGCCACAGGGATGCTGGGAATGGATCACCTGTCCTCTGCAAGAACTACAGTTGCTCTTAACCCCTGAACTATCTCTCCAGACCTATTTTAAGCACTTTAATTACAAAATAACTTAAAGGTAAATTTTTCTCAGTGCCATGACTAAATTAGAAGCGTGTAGAAAAGGAGAAGCTACTTTTACAAGAGACACTGGATATTAGGGTTGAGCAGTTAACTAAATTCAAAGCTACATGGACAACTTGCCACAAATGTGTGGGTGGTTCAGTTTTGTTTTTTTTTTCCTGAGACAAGGATTCATGTGTCCTATTCCAGCCTTAAACTCACTATGTAGCTGAGGCTGGTCTTGAACTTCTAATCCTCCTGCCTCTTCCTCCTGAAGGCTGGGATTGCAGGTGTATGCATCACACTAGTTTACGCAGTGCTGAGGATTGAACCCACAGCCCAATTTGTGCCAGCCAAGGACTGTATCAAACTGAGCTGTATCCTGAGCCCATACAAACTGTTAAGGAGTTAATTTTTATTTGGCCAGCAAGCTTCTTAGGAATCCTTCTTAAGAGACAGATCCTCCTTCCCCACAAGGCAGCAATTTCAAGAACTCCAACATATAAAAGAATAGAAAAGATGAAGATGAGAAATCTGACCTGCTGCTAACAGTATCCTCCTTGTTGTTTGACTTTGGCCCTTGGTTTAACCTTGTGGGCTGACTCCACATCCAGTTGCAGATTGTCCCTGAGTGTTCTGGCAGGGCTGGCCTAACCTGGTAGGGTTTCCCTTCTGTGCAGGAGGGCTAATAATGACGCAGCTCATGCTTTGAGCCTGTCAGCTTTTTCTCAGTTGGAAGTCTTGGGAGTATGGGTGTCCATTAGATTTCTGGTGTGCCATAGTTTAATTAATGTGTTTCCCACTCTCATCCCTGGGTGGCTAGCACTGTCTGTGTTGGCAATCTCATATGTAGTGGAACAGGAATGTGCCCTAAGGCCGCCTTTCTATTTATCATTCTTTTTTTTTTTTTTAATATTTATTGTGTCTACATGTGTGTCTGTGTGTGTGTGTGTGTGTGTGTGTGTGTGTGTGTGTGTGTGTGTGTATGAGCGCACATGCATGCTTGGGGGTTCCTGCTGAGGCCAGAGGGTACCAGATCCCCTAGAGCTGCCCAATATGGCTGCTGGGAACTGAACTTGGGTCCTCTGCAGGAATACCAAATGCTCTTAATCACTGAGCCACCTCTCCAGCCAGGCTGCCTTTCTAAAGGCAGAAATTTCATTCTGAAAAATCTAGTCCTTGATTACTTTTCTTAGATGACACAAAGTTCATTTTTTCGTTCAGACTATAGAAGCTTGAAGCCTGTCCATAGCCAGAATTGAAGAACTTACTTATTTTTTGTTACTTTTTCATGCTGAGATCTGATTATGCCCAATTACTTTGAATTTTGTACTTTACAAAGTGATCCAACTCAACTCTGGGTTTGCCCAAGCTCTTGGCCTTGTGTTTTCCTGACCTACTGAAGACACTAATTAGTAACATGCCAAAGGATAGCTTGTAAAAAATATCTTGATACCATTTTAAAGGCACTAGAATATAAAAGTCCCAACACAAGACCTAACTCGTCTCTGGCCTAAGATGTAGGTGTGGTTTATGAGTGTGAAGAATGCTAATTAGAATATGGAGATACCACCATGAAGTGACCTAGTTAGCATTCCTTCAGTTCCATCAAGAATATTGTTCTGCTCCTGCCTGACTTGGAATTTCTCACAAATGGTTTTAGTCCAAAGATACATGCATGTAGAAGGTCTCACAGGGACTCTTGCCTTTCCTCTCTACAGAGTGGGGACTGTGTGTTTCTGGTGCCAGGGGAAGGATGCATTTAAATGCCAGGGGTGCATTTACTTCATCTCGTACTCTTCTCCCATCCCTTTGATGGGAGTTTGGAGGTGTGAAGGTTATTAGTTGGGTATCAATCAGGATGGAGATGATGGGGAGTTTGGACAGATTCTAGAGTTAGTTTTTTACAGATTCTGTGTCCAAAAAGGGACAACCACAGTAGCTATGAAGACAGTCAGCTAGAGAACTATAGGTTAGAATTAAGGCAGCTACAAAAGGCACACACAGGCCTTCCATTCTGCCACCCTATGATAGGCATTCAAGTCAGAAGAATGTGGGCACTTTTGTGGCTTCTGTTATTTGTTTGGTATTGCTGTTGGTTTGTTCTCTTCCTCCCTCTCTCCTTCCCTCTCTTTCTCTCTGTCTCTGTATCTCTGTCTCTGTCTCTCTCTTTCTCCCTCTTTCCTCTATCCTTTCCTGCCCTGGAAGAATCTTTCTGCTGTGAAATTGTAATTAAGCGAAGAAAACTTACTCCTAACGGGAGGTGGTATGCAGCCTGCTCTGGGCTCTGGACAGCAGTTTAGACCTTGGCAGTTCACAGAAGGCAGGTTATCTTCCCTGGTGATGTGGCCTTTCAGCTTCTTTCTGTTGGGATGTAGTAGGGAGTAACAATAGCTGGCCCCAAACTACCCTATAGGAGACTCCAGGATACTTCTGCATTGACAGCAAACCTGCTGAGCCTCCTCTGAATCTCTCCCCAAGGGCATCCCTGGCCTGTGATCTCTCCCTGACTGGTATTTTAGCAAATGAGATCTCATCAGGAAAGTCTCTCATTAACATTCCTCAGAAAACCCTGAGGTTATTCTGAGGGAATTAAAGAAGGGGACAGACTGATGAGTATCAGGGAGGCCATCCTGCTGTGAGAACTAGTCTGCAGCTCCAGGGAGCTAAGGTGAAGCTAGGGCCACTGCCCGCAGCGTCAGCCAAGCCTGTTTCTTGTACCATGCCTCATTAATCTGTCATAGGCCTGGTATGATGAGGGCCTAGGTTTGTGGAGGGAAGCAGCATGGATTCCAGAACATTTCTGTTCAAGTTTAAACAATTCAGGACTGTTTTCAAAAACTTGTCTTCTCACAAAAGGTCAGGTCTTAGGTCTCCTTTCCCAATGCTGGGGTCTTATAGAGAAAGACTGCAGCAACAATATGGGAAGGCTTATCTAAGGGAAGAGTGAGGAAAAGATGCTGAAGATAGGCCCCAGCAGAGAGAGACAAGAGATATGTCCAGTGGGCTGTAGTCATGTGCTTCAAGATAGACTATTTGGCAAGAGGAGAAACCAAGCCAGGAGAAATGTTCAGCTGGATCACAGAGGGCTTTGAAGGTGAAAGTCTTAAGCATAAAGACACACATGGTGATGATATCTTTAAAGCCTTGCAAAGGTGCCAGTCCTTTACATGCTTAAAGCACTAGGATTCCTGTATCCCTCTTATTCATGATCATACACACACATACAGACACATACACATACCAGTCAGAAATTGAATAAATGACTTGACTAATGCACCTTTAGCTTTGGTAATAGTGAACTCCCATAGAAATTCAATATGCAGTTTTATTAGACTCTGGTCTCTATGTATTGTGAATGTATATATGAAGGTGTGTGCACTCACATGGGTGTGTATGCCTGTTTAAGTGTGGACACCAGATCCTGCATCCCTGGGATGTAGCATTAACAGGCATTTGTGAGAACCAAACTCTGTTCCATGTTATTGCTCAGCAAGTGTTCTTAACCACTGAACCATCTCTGCAGCCCCTATGATGCAACTTTCAAAATAACACACAAAGTTCTTTGTCTTGACAATATCCTGGACAGCCTCTGAAGACAAATGCAGAGAGCAAGAACAGTCAGAACAACAGTGCATGAGTGTTTTGTTACCAGTTAGAATGTGAATGGCTTCCATGAACTAGCACACTGTACCCAGGAGACATACTATAGAAGCCTTTCCAAATGCTGCTACCTGCATTTCTTCTGTGGCTTTTTGTTGTTTTGTTGTTGTTGTGTTATAATCTGAAGTAGATTTCTTTCTTTTTTTCTCCTTCCTTTCTTTCTTTCTTCCTTCCTTCCTTCCTTCCTTCCTTCCTTTCTTTCTTTCTTTCTTTTTTTCTCCTTCCTTCCTTCCTTCCTTCCTTCCTTCCTTCCTTCCTTCCTTCCTTCCTTCCTTCCTTCCTTCCTTCCTTCCTTCCTTTCCTTCCTTTCTTTCTTTCTTTCGATCTTTTTTTTTTTTCAAGACAGAGAGTTTCTCTTTGTAGTGCTGCCAGACCAGGGTAGCCTTAAACTCAGATATCTGCCTGCCTCTTCCTCCCGTGTGCTGGGATTAAAGGCATGTGCCACTGCATGGCTTTAGAGTGATTTTTTTCTTTTGTGGTTTCTTTTTAAGAGTTCTTAATAGAGTAACTTCCTCTGCTGATTTTTAGACTTTTTTTTTATTCCTTTCACAACTCTGTCTCCTTATTTTTGTTTTTTAATGTGTTTGGTTGTGTATTGCTTTGAAAGAGGGATCTTACTATGTAGACTAGACTGGCCTTGGCCTTACAATGATCCATTTGTTTCTGTCTCCCAAGTACTAAGATTAAAGGTATGCACTATCACACTTAGCTTTTCTACATGTCTTACTTGCGTGTGTCAGTGTCTGTATCGTGTGTGTTTGTGCTGGAGGAAAATGTCAGGTGTCTTCCTCTGTACTCTTCACCTTACCTCCCTGAGACAGCACCTCTCATTGAACCGGAAGATTGCTAATTGTCCAATTTGACTGATCACCAAGAGCTCCAGTGACCCTTTTGGCTCCCACTCCACATTATCTAGCTAGGCTTACAGCAGAC